CCCAATAAGGGAAGCGCTCGTACATCACCTTCATCACTAGATGAGTGCCCTGGAAAAATTTCTCATCCAAGGGAATCATGAAGAGGAAAACCACTGAGATGATCTTCGTTCACAGAAAGGATGTAGGTACGACAATGAAGATTCCTGATCGGCCCATGTTGGGGTTTCGGAACTTTAAGAAGGTAAGAGGGGTCCCCAAAAAAATTTCCCCTTGGTAATCACTGCTATAGTCGGGAAGTTTGATGTATCCTTGATCCTCATCAATGACTGAAGCTTTTGTGATATTATGTACTCATAATTGTTCGAGAATATGTGTTTGATAGATGCAACCTATGGTTGTATGAAGGCTCTGAACTCCAGGCATTCAATGGAACAACCACTCGTCCTTGGGGATATGTTGAGCTGATAGTCTCTGTAGGTGATGGGAAGGACACTCAGGAAACCACTTCATAATTCCTCGTTATCCCTTGTATGAGCACCTATAAAGGTATCTTGGGAATACCTTTTACAGCCACGTTAGACGTCTTTGCCTTCTTAGTGCATCTCAAACTCAAGTATCACAACTGGTAGATGAAGCCAACCAGTATCAACGTCGACCTCGAGGGAGAAAAAATAATTTATCAAGCCCTTTAAAAAAATCATAGGTCATGGCCATGGAGATTAATGTAGCTTTCTTCACCGATCAGATTAGCAGGATAGACATATGTCCTTCAAGAAGTGGCTAGACTAACAAAAGTGATCAGAAGGAATAAGTGGCGGTTAGCCCACCTGATTATGTCATTTTTTCTCATTTATATTAAATGTTGTGATTGTATCATCATATTCCTTATGCACAGGAATATCTTGCAACTATGAATGAAATATGACATTTTCTGAAATATTTATTCCTTTGCGAATATGCATAGTGATAGTAAGTCTAGGGTACAGCTGAAGAGATCGAGGTCTGCTACACCAAAATCTAGGGGTGTTGAAATATTTGTTTCTTTGCTAATGTGCATAGTGACGTGTTTGCCATCCCTCTTCCCATACACACTTGTCACTCAGGTGACATCTGGAGAGGTCATCTACTCTAGAGGCCATAACGGCCAACCTGTCAGCTCTCTCAGTACGGTGACGGTTGGATCATCATGGTGGTGATGCCCGCCACCAATGTGCAGAACACAGAAACAACGTTGTCACCATTGGAGCTCTTCCAAAGGTCCTATTTTGATCCCATAACACCCAAATCGCACAGAAAATATCATACATAATATATTGGACACATAACACATCAAATCAACACTGAATACTCATAACATTAATTTTTCATGAATTTTATCATATGTTCATCATCACCAAAACTACATAAACAAGAATGTTCTGGAATGGGTCGACGCTTAACCCACAGCCAAGCAGGCCCAAACCCCGCTAGGGCGGGGCCCAATAGGACCACGTTGACGGGCAGAAGACTCGTCGGGCACAACCCCCCCCCCCCCCGGCGGGCATAGGCCAACAGCTATCGGAAAAGTCCATCGAAGCCGACCAGCCAACCTCTTTCCTCCCCTCGTCGGGCTGAGTCCAGCCTGCTCGGGGAGCTCCTCGGACCTCCCTCCACGTTCTCTACGTGTCCCTCACGCAGGGACACGTCATAAAGTAACTACTCATGTTCTAGAGATTCAGGGTCTTCCTTCTCCCGGCTAGTGCGGAACAGTTACCCTAGGGCGAAGACCATGTGCTGGTCTTCACGATGCCACGTCAGCTCTAGCAGTTACTAACATTGGACCTGACAGCTCAATCCAATTCTAGGTAACCGTTGGCCCTGCGCTGGGGGCTCGCTATAAATACCCTCTTCACTAGAGGGTCATGTAACTTAACTCTCTTACTCTCTCTGTACTTGCTCCCACTCTGCTCGTCACTTAATTTTGCATTGGAGTGTGTTTCAGGTACACCCCCTCCTCTTCCATACCTTCGGTGAACAGCTAGCAGATCAACGACGCGTGGCAGGTCACTGATTCCTTTCTGATCAGGTAAGATCAAAGAACAACACCAATTTGAATTTCACATATAAATTGCATACGAATTCAACACATAATCATAACATAAAAATATATTCATAACATCATGATCCAGAGAGGTTTGCACAACCATCTCAAGGATTCAAAAACCACAACAATGGAGGATAGGGAAAACGTCAAGGAAAAGGGTTAGAATCCCTTTTTATCTTTCATGAAAAACACACCCATAGATAAATAATCTCTCGTACCTGAATCCTGCAGAAAAATTGAAGCTTTTGTTTGGAATCCTAGATTTTGCTCTTGCCTCTTAAACTCCTATTATGCTTCAAAATTTTACGTACTGCATAAACCTATTCTTCTCATTCTTTTTCTATTTAAATAAAAAAAAAACTAATATTTCTATTTAATTTAGTTATCACCACGACCCCCCTCAACTTTCGGTAATTCTCTCTTTGTCCGACCAATTTCATAAGAATACTACTTTTCTCTCATATCTCAATATCTCTTATTTTATTATTTTATTATTTTAATTAACTAAAAATAGTGATAAATAATATAAATTCTATCTCAACTCAATTAATCTCACAAAACACACATAGCACCCCTAGTAAGTTACATCAACACCTAAAACTCAATAAAATTAAATATTTTAAAAATTGGAGTATTACACTCCTCGTCTCCTCTCAACCGGTCTTTTTGGGTAGCTTTCTAGATTCTTTTAGTGTCTTAACTTTTTGGTCTTTGGTTTGTTGTTATATTTTCAGTTGGTTTTTTCTTTGACCTACGAGGATCTTACGGTTGTTTAGTCAGGGTATTTTGTAGTTTTCGTTTTGAGTCTCTTTGTTTTGTTTTTATTGGATTTGTGTGATTCCTAGTACAATCTCTTTCTTATTAGAAGGTTATATATATATATATATATATATATATATATATATATATATATATATATATATATATCACTCGTTCTGTTTGGGAACTAGAAATAGATGCAATTGAAAATTGTATGATCTTGAACAATGACTTTAATCTCCTTTGTAGTGGTGTGATGTGAATCTTCATAGTTAATACTTCAACGCTCAAGTCAGTTTAAAATTTAAGGTGTATATTAGAAATGAAAATCAGAAATTGTATCTTGCTTTTAGTATATGAATTGTTTTTATATTTTGGATCAAGTGAAGTAAATTTAAGATAAATTTAACCTTGATTATTTGGATCTTTGTCGGTCCAGAATATCATTAAAAATTCATATACATGAATAAAAAGAAAAGCACGGTAAAATATAATTATTTTTTTTAATCTCTAAAATATTTTTAACATATAAGGACATTTTCAAGGATACCTTATATGCACATTTAAATATATTCTTAGTCAAATATAATTATTGTTTATTTTTTAATCTCTAAAATATTTTGTGTTTATTTATTGTAAATCCATTTAATATTTGGTCCTTCAAATTTGGTTTTAGTTTTTATAAAAATATAAATTAGAGTTGACTAATATATATATATATATATATATATATATATATATATATATATATATATATATATATATATATATATATATATATATATAATTTTAGTTATTGCAAATAAAAACAAAAATGCATATTACATATACCAATTTCAAAACTAACAAATTTTATAATAACTAAAATATTGATGACCAAAAACAAAATATAATACATTTTCAAGGATTAAATAGAAGAAAAAATATATATCACACACATGAACTTTATCCATTATTAAGATTGATTGATTAAAATTTCACTAGACTCATTTTTATAAGATTGATTCCATATTTAATCATCACATTCCAAATGCTCATTAAAACTGTGGAGGTCGGTGGTTGATGAATTGAACTAAATCAAACTATATTAATGATTTAGTTCAATTTTTAATAATCACTTCAATAATATATAAGTTAATTACTGAAGTGGTTTGAATTTAATTCAAAATCAATTTATAATCAATTTATATTTATAAAGCAGTTTATAATTATAAATCAATTTTATGTTTTAATCTATTTTAAAATAAATTTATTTAATAATAAAAAATTCAGAGAAAAATCATTTTTTCACTTTTTTATAATTTTCAGAACTTTTTTCTTTTTTAGGGGAAAATATTTTTGTATTTTCAGAAAAAAAAAGGTTTTTTTTTAGTAAAATAATACTTTTTTTAATTTTCAATAAACATTTTTTTACTTTTTAGAAAAAATAATATTTTATTTTCTAAATTACAATAAACCATTTCTTTTTTCTTTTTAAATTTTCCTATAAAAAAACATTTAACTTATTTTTAAATCTTTTTTGGAAAAAGAACATTTCAAACTTTTTTATATTTTTAGAAATTTGTATTTTTTTTAATAAACTATAGTTTAAACTGTTAAAATTGATTTTTAACTTAATCCTCGTTAATTAAGTTGCTTATAATATGTTGTGTCCAAAAAAATTCTTATAATACAAACTTTAGTTTATTAACAATTTAATTGGTTTTAAATAATTAATTAGATACAAAAGAGTGATTAAGTAAATTGCTTATAAATATAAATTAGTTTATGAATCATTTAATCTATATAAAAGTTGTTAAGTCTTAAAAAATTTTAAGTCAAAGTTGAGGACATATAAAAAAACATTTGTGACAAAACACACTTCATATTCATCCAAAATCTTAAGATAATAGGTGTATTCTCCTACTTATAAATAGTCAAATTTCCACATTTCTAACCAATATGGGACTTCCATACTACACACTTGTTATACTCAACAAATACTGTTTATCTATTTTGTAGATGAATCCAATTTGAAATTCAATTCATTTTGATTAGTAACTACATGAACTCAGTATAATCAATTACTTCTGGAAAACATCATTATCTTCACATGGTAAACTTAGTTTACTACAACTTTAAAATGATCATGTCTCTAGATAACAACACTTTTGTATCATACAAAATCGAAACAATACAGTGACAATCCTCAAAAGTGTCAAATTATTATATACTCTCTCATAAGGAAAACATCTTTCTATGCAAGTGCTCTCCAGCTGAAGCTACTTCTCCATGAATATGATGATCATGATCATGATCATGAAAAAATAGGGTCAACAATCCAACTAAACACAGTACTGAACCAACAAGAAGTTTGTCGTACCGCTCCACCCAATGAAACTTCAGCTGACTGGCTCCATAAAATGATAATGCTACTAGTGAAGTCATCACAGAGATTGTGCTGTAAATGCAATGTGTTAAAGCTTAGTAAACAGTAGCAAATCCTCAAACAAAAACATCCATATATACTTATTTGACAGATAGGAACTGTTTAGATGAATAACCGATTATCTGTTAAGTGATTATGTATCAACTATTTCTATAACAATAGATAAAATCTAGTCAAGTGATTTTCATATAAATATTAGTATTTTTTTTAAGCTATTTCGGAGTGCTTAGAGAAATAAACCGGAAACAACGGATGGACGTGTCTTAAATTGGTTACATAAGCTCTTCCAAACAGTCCCGCAGTGATTATACCAGTAGATAAGTTGAGAAAAGGCTATCCAAACAGACCTCTAAAACCAAACTAGGATCAAGAGAGTAAAAGAAAGAATTTCAGGCATCAAATTCAGCAAAAATAGTTGGACTGCAATTCATCTCTTTTCTTCTAGGCTAGTTGAATTGTGTATTCCTGTCCTAATGGTCAAGACACATTTTATGATTCTGATGTGATAGCCTCTGCAACAGCACTGCTGCACCGCAATTATGATGTGATCTTAAATCACGTGTGCGGGTATCAGAAAATTTCGGCCATTTCTTTCAAACTTATCTCAAAAAAGTTAGAATTTTGGAACCCTATATCTCAATATTCTTCATATATAATGAAAAATCTTACTTTTAACCGTCTCTAAACTATGTATTTTAAGCACCTCTCAATCATTATTACTGAGTGCGTGTACACTTAGACTATGCTAATGCTAAGATGGATAAATAGTGTAGTGGCACAGTAATACCAGTTTATATAGTTTGTGAAAACTTAAAACTATTTCATGCCACAGCAGCTACAATGTGTTGCAATGACAGCAGTCGCAACTCCATCCACAACCGTAATTTAAAACCATGATCTTGACATGATGCAATTCTAAAGGGTCTTAATTTCAGTGTTGCCAATCGAAGCACTGAAAAACAGGATCTAAAATATTCTGAATGTGTAACACAGTTGACTTATACCTGAATAGAAGAACTATGATGGCAAGCACCATCATGGAGGATGAATTTCCAACAGCAAGAAATACCGGAAGTGTTGTAGCACAAGGAGATAGTGCAGGAACAAGAATAAGGCCAGCTACTGCCATTTTCTCCATGGGTTGGTTGTGAGAATGACTATGGCCGCCTTTCCCCATAAGAAACAGCACAATATACATACCACCGAGAAATACGAGCAAAAGTGAAGCAAGCTTATGCACTGTTTCTTCGCCGGCAATGGTGTTTGCCATGGTAATTGCTGTTATACCAAGCAGTGAAGTGGATATTACATGCAAAATTGCTCCAAATGCAGCTGCATGAAAAGAAAATTGCGGAGATACGTCATGAAGAATCTTCTGAAGATATCTTTGAAGATTGAAATATTGAGGCAACATTGATGTAACTGGTTGCCTCTATGTTATTAAAAAAGTAAACGGTAGCCATTTCAATTTATATGTAACTACTCGTACTTGCACCAGTTACATATGTCAAGGAAACTAACAAATTTTGTTTTTGATAGATTTATTTGTCTTTATCTTATAGGAATAATACCCATAACCATTAAATATCCAACTTCTCTCTCTGCAATAAGTAACATTTAAGGATATTATTAACAAAAAAAATAATCAATGTTGCATTGAAACTTTAAAAATGACAAATAAATAAGAACAAAAGTTTTAGACAAAAGCAACAACTGAAAAGGAACTAAGGAAGTGATAAAAACTCTAATACAAAAACTATTGACATAAGTATATGTTTGGACTCATATTGCAAATGTTATTTTAGAGAAACTCTATAGATACTTTGGGTTCAAATATACGTTTAAAGATTTTCGACAAAATTCCAAACATACATAATCTTCCAAAGTTGTATCTATCCAGAAAATTCGTACTCATTCAACAATATAACTAGGGCCGTCTAAGTTTTTTGAGGCCTTATGTAGGTTAGCCACGATTCAATCATGATAAAATTATCAGAGGTCCTATTTATCTACAGTTTAACAATAACAAATATTTTATGAGACTCTATTTAGCTACCGTTTAACCGCAACAAATCTGGACCATATGTTGTAGCCCGCCTTATAAATGTAACCAAGAGTGACAAATGTTTTATGTCAGTAATGTGCCAAAACACAATAAATGGTTCCATGTTATCTCAAATGTTTTTCCAGTTTAAAAACAACAGTTTATCTCAACAATTTTTATGACAGAACTTATAGAAACAACCTACGGCATGTCTATAAACTGTTTGCAGCTTATTCTCAAAAGCTCTTCAGGATAGCTTATGAAATCAGCATATAACTTACTGTAACCTTTTTCATGAAAATAGCTTCTACATAAGCACTTATTCAGATAAATGCTTTAGTTATAAGCATTAATCAAGTTGTTTAACCAAACAGACCCAAATCTTACGCATAGAACTAATTCCCCTCTACTCTCTTCGATCTCACATCCTTAAAAAATCAACATCCATAAACCAAAAACTTCAAGAATTTTCAATTATAATAACATTCCTTTCAACTAATCAAAAACAAAACAAAGCAAAAAGCAGAGAAATTAAAGTTGCATCGTAAAACTAATTAAGAACCAAGAAAACAAATAATCAAACAAGAGATCTGAGATAGAAGGAAAAAAGAAGCACATACTAACAAGGAGGGTTCTAGAAAGGGTCCATTTCTGAGCACGACCCACGATGGAAAACGGAAGCCAGTGTGTTGGAATGAACGAATGGAGAATCGATACGGTTGCGATACCTCCGATTGTGGACAGATCTTCGGCGGTGAAACTATTCATTGTTATTTAGTATCCGAAAGAAAAAGTTGAAACTTTATGAGCAGGATCGACGAAATAGGAATTTTGATTGTAAATTCTTGTAGAGGATTCAAAAGGGTTGCTACATTACCGAAAATTTGGAAGAAAAATCTAGTGTTGAAGACGAGAGTGAGAGATAAATCTGATTAAAATGAAGAAAGTGGGAGAAGAAATAAATTTACATATATTAAAGACAGGTTCCACTATTTGCTTTTTTTTTTATATATGATAAAGTTTTTTTTTTATTTAAATTTAAATTATATACGTGAGAATGCACATCATCTAAAATTTTCTCTATTTGATTTTATTTTAATTGAAGTAAACATGATATTGTTTTTCAAATACACAATGTTTCTATAAATCCATTTTACAATTACGAACACCCTTTAATAAATTTCTTTTATGAAATTTTATTATCTCATTCATTCGGATTTGATTGCATCATTATCAAACACAATTGATGCAACCTAACTTATAAGAGTGTTCTGTTAGGAAACTCTGATAACTGACTTAATTTATTGAATAATAGAAAAGCTAATATATAGCTTATTACACAAACTGACTATCCTAAAACTTAGCTAGAAAATAGAAACTAATAAAGACTAAATCAAAATGTATCCAAGTGTTGTGCTAACAGCCCTATAAAGTAGGATATTTATTCTAACAAACTAACCAAGTCATAATTAACCCTATCATTTCCTCCCTTAAACTAGACAGTATACTAGTTTAACTTAGGTGCATCACATACTCCAAGTTTCTTCCTAAGATGCTGAAATGTCTTCAACTTGAGAGGCTTAGTGAAAATGTCTGCTATCTGTTGTTCAGTGCCACAAAACTTCAGTTGTACAGCTCCTTCATTCACCATATCACGCAGGAAGTGGAACCTTACATCAATGTGTTTACTCTTTCCGTGCATCACAGGGTTTTTGGATAGCTTAATTGTTGAACTATTGTCGCAAAATATAACGGGACTGCTACTGCCATTATAGCCAAGCTTCTTCAACACTCTTTTCATCCATATCATTTGACATGTGCAAGCTGCAACAGCTACAAATTCTGCTTCTGTGGTGCTCAGTGCGACAATAGGTTGTTTCCTTGAAGATCATGCTACAGCTGCATTGCTCAGAATAAATGCATACCCGGATGTACTTTTTCTGTCCTCCATACTTCCAGCATAATCACTGTCGCTGAATCCGATCAGCTCTGTATTTCCTGTCTTCCTATAGAGAATCCCATAGCTAGTGGTTCCTTGTAAATACCTTAATATCCTTTTGGCTGCCATAAGATGAAGCTCAGTTGGATTTGACATGTATCTACTAATGAGGCTAACTGAATACATCACATCAGGTCTTGTAGTTGTCAAATACATCATGCTTCCAACCAGCTGCTTGTAGACTGAACTATTCATTTTCACACCATCTTCATCTTTGTGAATTTTGAAACCTGGAACCATTGGATTCTGCACAGAATTGCTTGCTTCCATTCCAAATTTCTTCAACATATCTTTCACATACTTCTTTTGGCTGATAAATATCTCTTCATCAAACTGTAATACTTCTATACCAAGAAAGTATTTCATCCTTTCCAAGTCAGACATGTCAAACTCCTTCATCATGGACTGTTTGAACTCTCTCATCATAGCACTATCATTACCAGTATAGATCAAATCATCAACATATAGGCTAACAATTAAGAAGTTACCTTGTTTATTCACTTTAGTAAATAATGTTTGTTCACTTGCATCCTTCTCGAATCCCACCTGCTTGAAGTATGACTCTATTCGACTGAACCATGCTCGCGGTGCTTGCTTGAGTCCATATAAAGCTTTGTTAAGCTTGTAGACCTTCCTTTCTTCATCCTTCAACTCATAACCCTTAGGTTGTTCAACATAGACCTCTTCCGATAATTCTCCTTGGAAAAAGGCAGATTTCACATCAAGTTGATAAATAATCCAACTTCTTTGAGCTGCAAGAGCAATTATCATACGTATAGTGTCCATACGAGCTACAGGAGCATACCTTCATCATAATCAACCCCTTGTTGCTGAGCATATCCTTTCGCCACTAAGCGAGCTTTATATTTTTCAATTTCTCCCAGCTGATTCAATTTGGTCTTGTATACCCATTTGACTCCTATGGTTTTAGCACCTCTTGGCAAATCAGTTAGCTGCCATGTCCCGTTCTTCTCGATTGTACTTATTTCATAATCCATTGCTTGTCTCCATTTTTCACTTTGCACTGCCTCTTCGAAACTGATTGGATCAGAGCTAGCAAAGAAAGCAAAATGTACTTGACCATCTTCTTCTTCTTCACCAATAACATAATCATTCATCCATATTGGTGCTCTTCTAACTCTGATTTCTCTTGCATTAGAAGTTGTAGGATTGGCACTAGGTACAACAGCCTCAATTGCATCACTTGTCATCTCCTTTTCTTCTTCTTCGTTGCTTTGTGTGTCATGATTTTGTTGGATGTTTTCATCATTTTCTTCTCCCACCTCTAGATCAAGTCTAATAAAATCTTGGTAACTTTCATCCCAATTCCACTTCTTTTCTTCCTCAAAGACAACATCCCTACTGATTATGACTTTCTTGTTCAAAGGATCATAGAGTTTATATCCCTTGGATTCTGCACTCACCCCAAACAGAACATAACTGCGACTTTTATCATCCAGTTTAGTTCGTCTAGCATCAGGGACGTGAGCATGAGCTACAGAACCAAACACTTTGAAGTGTTCAACTGAAGGTTTCACCCCCACTCCAAGCTTCTTCAGGGGTCATGTCCTTGAGTGATGATGTTGGACATCTATTTAGAACATAGAAGGCCCAATTCACAGCTTCTGGCCAGAAATTTCTCGGCACATCTTTCTCAGCCAGCAAACATCTCACCATATTCATTACAGTTCTGTTTCTTCGTTCTGCAACACCATTTTGCTGAGGTGTGTAAACTGTGGTTAACTGCCTCTTAATGCCATTCTCTCTACAATATTCTTTGAACTCATTTGATGTAAATTCACCTCCACGATCTGTTCTTAAGCATTTAATGGACAAACCAAATGCTTTCTCTACACAGGTTCTGAATTGCTTAAAGACACTAAACGCATCGGACTTATATGTAAGAAAATACACCCAAGCTTTTCTACTAAAATCATCAATGAAACAAATGAGATACCTTTTTTGTCCGTTGGAAGTAGGAGATATTAGACCACAAATGTCAGAATGAATCAGCTCTAGTTTTTCTGAAGCTCTCCATATCGCCTTCTTTGGAATAGTTTCTCGATGTTGCTTCCCTTTTAAACAGCCAGTGCACACAACATTGGTTTCAGCAAAATGTGGCAGCCCTTTCACCATTTCCTTGTTTTTCAGAGTTTTCAAGCCTGTATAGCTTAGATGACCATATCTACGGTGCCAAAGTTGAGCTAGATCTTGGACATCATCTTGAAAGCACTCTTCACTTATTTCCTGCTTGCAACAAGGTGTATTAGTGAGCAACACAAACATCCTGTTGGCTGTCATTTTGCTGGTAATGACAAGACCCTTTGTAGGATGGTAGATCCGACATTGATTGTCCTTTATCACAACAGCAAGACCTTTCTCTTGTAGTTGTCCAATGCTAAGAAGATTGTTCTTTAAGTCTGGCATGTAGAACACGTCTTTGACAGTGTGATAAACTCCTTCCAAAACTAACCTCACACTTCCTTTTCCAACAACACTCATTGTTGTATGGTTGCCCAATCTGACATTTCTTTTGAATCCATTCTCCATATCCATGAATAGTGAAGAATCACCGCACATATGGTTGTTGCATCCGGTGTCCAGAAACCACACATCTTGTTGATTAATTCTAGAAGATTCAACATATGCCATAAGCAGCATCTCTTCTGATTCTTCAAGCTCAGCATAGTTTGCTTGCTTCCCTAAATTTGGACACTCGTACTGATAGTGTCCTAGCTGATGGCATGTGTAGCATTCAACGGTCGCCCTGTTGTAACTTTGCCGACCCCTGCCTCTGCCTCTTCCTCCTTTGAAAGTGCTTCTTCCTCGTCCTCTTCCACCATTTCTTTCATCATAGGACACCTTGAGAGCATGTTCTTCGTCTCCATCTTTCTTAAACTTTTGCTCATGGACAAGAAGAGAACTCTGCAAGGCATCAACAGAGAGTTCATCAATGTCCTTTGACTCTTCTATGGAACAAACTATATAGTTCCAATTTTCAGTGAGGGTTCTCAAGATCTTCTCTACAATCTTTATATCATCCATATCCTCTCCATAATTTCTCATATCATTTGCGATCATCATCACTCGGCTAAAATAAACACTGATTGATTCACCTTGTTTCATAGCTAAGACCTCAAACTCTTTGCGAAGACAGTTGAGTTGAGCCCTTTGAACTCGAGCATTCCCTTGACATTTCATCTTCATGGAATCCCAAAGTTGCTTGGATGTCTCCTTCTGAGTGATTGTTTTAAGAATTGACTTGTCAAGAGGTTGAAACAAGTAATTCTTCGCCTTTAGATCTTTGAGTTGCGCTTCCTCCAGTGTCTTCTTTTGTGATGTTGTTAACACTTCATCAGCACCTGGTTGTGAATAGACAGATTCCACAACACTCCAGTACTCCTTGGATCGGAGTAGATTCTTCATGACCATGCTCCAGTGGTCATAATCACCATCGTATTTCGGAATAGAGGGTTGAGAAAAAACATTATTTCCTTCAGCCATTGCTTACGAACTCTCTCTCCTTTTTTTTCTCGATATGAAGCTCTAGATACCAGATTGTTAGGAAACTCTGATAACTGACTTAATTTATTGAATAATAGAAAAGCTAATATATAGCTGATTACACAAACTGACTATCCTAAAACTTATCTAGAAAATAGAAACTAATAAAGACTAAATCAAAATGTATCCAAGTGCTGTGCTAACAGCCCTATAAAGTAGGATATTTATTCTAACAAACTAACCAAGTCATAATTAACCCTATCAT